CACTTTCTTAACACCCATTACCTCTACACCGCAGCCATATATGGGGAATTTTGGCGCTTCAGATCGATGTGTTAAAAAGGTTGGATAGAGGGTTTCCAAGTTAAGTGGCACTGCATTTTTATCTCATAACCAGCAGAAACATTTTGTTGAATTCGAGTAAGCAGGAGTAGGCGTTTTTCTCAGAGAATTCACCAATGACATACTGCGTCTGATATAAAAAAAACATGCTGTGTGCTCAAAATCAGTGCTTTTCGTGCAGTGCTGGTATCCGTCAACCAGGTGTGCCACATTTGCTTGATGAAATATATACGTCTTAACTACCATTCTTGTGTACTCTTTCGTCTCACATGTACATGCGTTTGAGGGGTGAAAGACGTCTTTACTTGGCTGTGAGTTACTAGTTCATTGTCTCTGTGTTGCTGCGCTTCATGTTTCATTTTTCTCTTTTTGGGATCATGATATATGCAATGGTTATATATCATACCGTCTAAGTTTAAACTCAGGTTATTCGTTATAAATCGTACAGTTGTCGATGGCTGTCTTCCACTTGTCACCGCTTGTAGCTGATCGTTGAGGGTCTTTTATTAGTCTTGCGGGAATACCGTTGATGAGTTCTTTTCCTTGCCCTGGAAGACGACACTCGGGTGTTTTTTCGTTGTTTGTGACGTGGGTGTCAAAACTAAATTGATGTTAACGGGTCACCAAAATTGATTCCTGCTTTCTGACTCTGCGAGAAGATCATTTACATGAAATGCATGTTTTTGACTCACTGTGAAGTTATCATTATTTGTCTGTTTTTTTGACTAACTGTAAAGCGCGTCGTTTCAGGAACGAACTAGAACGTCTCTTTTGGAAACGCTGTATTATAACCTGAAGCACAGGAGTATGGAGTATTGTGGCTCGATAGGGCCAACGGAAAGCTTGAAGAACGGAAACGGAAACAGTAGCTCAGGAAGCTTGCTAAGCTCAGTGAAGAAAGGTTACTGCTTAAACACACTGGTTAGAAGTACAATTCTCAAATTCGTATTTTTCAGTCATCATCGGAAGAAACAGGAGCATACCGACCAGTGACACTGACACTTCTGACAATTCCTCGTCGCAGACTAATACGTCCAGAAAATGGCAAAGCTTTATGAACAAAGCTTCTTCGATGCCCGATGCTCGCGAGGTTAGCTTAGCGAAACAGAATGCACCAGTACTTGTTCTATTCCTTTGATCTTACAGTCATGTGGAAGACTCAGCCAAGTCGATAAGCTGCCAATATTGACCGAAGAAGCTGCTGTACAGACCTGTAGCACGTAAGTCCGTTTGTTTAACTTAATCGTGTCGGAATTGACGAATAGTTCATAATAGTCGTACAAGCGACTATGCTGTTCAGACTGCACGCATAGAAATGTACACCTTATTCAGATGTTTGTCGTTTAGCTACGGCATACGATACGACAGCGGTACGAGCAGGTCCGGAGCGGCAAGTCAA